GTCCCCATGCTGATGCAGACCAGCTCGGTCGTTTTACAGGTGAGGAAACCAAGTCCTTGAAAAAGGTTCAGGGAGATAGTCCTAGGCTCATAACCAGCCAGGGTGGAATCAGGATGAAAATCCACTGAACACTAGTTTCCATGACTTCCCACCACAACTCACTAGCTCCACCAGGAACGAAACTTGAGACTCAGCAGCGGACGTTCTCATTTCGCTTCCTATTTGGAACATTATAGCCAGGTGTGAGCCTGCTGTGTCCAAGCCCATTCAAACCACAAGCTCGGGGGGAAGAAAAGCAACTGATTTCTTGATGTCCCTTCATATTCCTGTCTCCAACCTTACAACCACCCTCTCACAATGCATAGCTCCTCACCCAATGGACACACACAAACTCATCCAGAGGGACTTCTCTCTGAAGAGTGTTTTATTTCAATTACGTCTAAGACATGTGCATTAAAACATACCAAAATATTACAAAAATTTATGGCTCCCTATTGAGACCTTGTCAAATTATGGTAAGATGCCTAAAAGCATCGTTTAGAAGTTCAGAACCAAACATTAAACCAGGTCATGTACCATTGCTGAAAGACTAGTAATGGTTAAGAAAAGAACACTTCACAAAGCTAAAGTTAAGTGGGGAAACCCTTAAGAAACACTAGAATTACACCCAGAAACCATCAGCCCAGGAAACACGTCTGCCTGCAGCCTGGCTGGCGACCTTCAGGGGTCTAAGGGCAAATGGAGGGCTTTCCCTTCACAGCTTGTCTGTCTCTTACGCATGGTTAAAACACAAGGAATGCTTTAACCTTCCATGACAGGGCAAACACTGCCACATCTGAAAGAGGCGCCACATTCATTTTTATTTTTACCTCTGTAGGAGGTAATTTTTCATCTCATCTGACTCAAGGAAGGCTTTGTGTAAAACAATTTAAACAGAGACTTGAACATGCTTACTGCCACATCAGCGAAGTTCAAGGTGATCTCTCCTGTCTCCTATCTCTACCCTCCATGTCACGGTTTGGCCACCATGAGACACTGAAATTCCCTTGTTCATCCAGAAATTTCTGAGATCTATGACACCATGTTCTCCATGCTATGGAGTGCTGAAAGAAAATTCTTTTTTTATTTTTCTGAACGAAAATTCTGTTTTTTTTACTTATTTAAATTTTTTAGGAGAGCTTCTCTTTTCTCAGGAGAGCTTGTTGCTCTTCTGGCCTATTTCTCCTTCTCCCCTGTAATGCCCTGAAATAACCACTCAACTCCACAGGAAAGAATTATTGCCAAGATGTTTTTGCACTGGGAACAGTTTCTTTTTGTAATTTTATGCCAAAGTTTTATCTACACTGATGATAAAACATCATTATCTGAAGATTTCTAGGCCAGAATATTGGTTTCTTTTTAGTAGGAAGGAGACCAAACCCAACTCATGGCCGTCGAGTCGATTCAGACTCATAGCAATCCCATTGGTCTTCCAAGGCTGTAAATCTCTACCGAAGCAGACTGCCACATATTTCTCCCACGGAGCAGCTGGTGGTTTTGAACTGCAAATCTTTCAGTTAGCAGTCGATTGCTTTAACCACTGTGCCACCAAGGCTCCTTGTAGGAAGAGGGAAGGGTGAAAATCTCTCTCCTTGAAGCATCAGCAAGTCTCAGACCAAAATCTCGACTTCAAATCCAGGCACATTTCACTCGGGTGGGCAGCTAATCTCCTGAGATCCTCTCGCCTCAACTTCAACTCAAAGTTCATCCAGCCTGGGGACCATCGCGGACAAGACTCTAGACCAAGCAGGCAAGGACATGTCTAGTTTGTGCTTTTTAATTTCTCACCCAGCTACCCTTTCCCCCACCCCCTTCTTCACTCAATATAACCTTCTCACTAATGTGATCCCGTGAACGTGACCTTGTGCTTAATTCCACCATCACCCAGGGAGACTGAGCCCCTTGCCAGCCAGGTGGACTCGAGTTTCCTTCATTTGATCACCAACCTTGTAACATAAGTCTCTGGAAAAAGAAAGCCAGATGAGGCTAGTCTGTTTTCACGAGTTAGGGAAAACCCTATAAACTGGCCTTTTGTGCTGGTCACGATTTCAGGTCCATTGAACATAATTACATAAACCCCCACAAATCGGTTGGCGTTCAAAACTGCAAGGCCATGTGATACCAGTGAGAAAAACTGGCTCCACGCAGAGATGAAGCGTCTCTGTTTCATCTGCTGCTATTTAAGAGAACCCTTCCAGAATTCCTGATCAGGGTATTAGCACGTGAGAAATGATCTCTAAACAGGGCAGGTTGAAATGGAAAGGAGTGGCCTGAATTAGGTGGAAGCGTGTTGTGTAAGGAGTGATTTGCCTTCACGTCCACACCCTGGTCCTCCATCCTTAAAAAGCAAGTCTACCTTAGTAACACTTTCTCGGAAAGTGACCTGGCAGACTTGACATGTTGCAACATTTCCATATTTAACACCATCACAGTGTTAGTGCAAATTACAGAGGATTTTTATAAACCAGAAACAGACGCCCAATAAAATAACTGGGAGAGAAATTCTCCAAGTCATTTTCTGAAATGCAAAACTCAGGAGTTGGGTTTGCATTCCCAAAACTGCCCTTTCCCATCTGTAACTTGGGAAGCTGTCCTCATCCCCTTTATTTTTTGTTTGTTTGGCCTAATTCTGTGCACTTGGCAGAAGCCCTCTGAGGTGTATGACTGAGACCAATCACCTCTGGGTTTCCACTCCACATCCCACAGGGCCAATGGTGCTATCCCCTTGGAGGAGGTAGGTCAGCTAAGAAAGCCCTGGCAAAATGTCAGGTGGCGGCACGCCACCATTTTCAAAGTCAACAATGAGACCACGGCTATGAGCTTTCCAAAGAGGCCATGGAGAAGTTCACAGGGGAGGGCAGGAGGGTGTCCAGGGAAGGAGCGGCTCTGCTGCAAAGGCCCAACTCCTTTAAAGCACTGACCAGTGGCTCTCCATCCCTCAACTGCCCGGCCCTCCTATCCCTCCTTGAAGAGGAGGTGGGGGAGATGAGGGGTGCTCCCACCTTCACGCTGCTCAGAGCTGCCTGCTGCTAGGAGCTCCTAGTCTTGCTGGGTTGACCTCAACAGCCAGGCCCCCTGCTCCAAGTATCTCTCAGTCCTTCCTCAAATTATATCAGCCACACTGGCCTACGGCTATGTGGCAAGCTCCCTGACCGGGGCCATAGGGGACAGACTCTGTTCCTGCCTTATCTTCCCAGTGGTGTCTGCTCTGTCCCTCTCTATACATCTTTACAGGGAAGCCCAAAGAACACCCCCTTCTGCCACATTCAGTCAGTAGCAGGACAGGTCCTTATTCTCGAAGTCCATCTCCACGCACAAGGGGGAGGGTGAGTTGCAAGAATCCAGAGGTTGGAAAGAATAAAGTCTTCACTTCAAACATGGCCACAGCTCAAGAGCAGAAGATCCTAGATGATGTGAAGATGGGCTGGGCTCGCAGGCACCTGTCATTTCTGCCACAAGCCTCCACACTTCCTTTTAGCCCTAAGGAGGGAATGCGGAAACTTCCTGGCCACTACCTCAGAGCAAGGCTGGGTTCTGGCCACGCTACCCAGTCAGTGCCATGAGCAAATCAGTCAGACCTTGACTTCACAAGACCTTCCCTTCAGCTTCAGGAAGCATCAAAGCAATGCGGTTGACGGCTTGACATGCAGAGAGAAATGCTCAGGATACCTCCTGTCTTCTAGAGGTGGCCATGGGGACAAGGATGGAGGCAGATTCTTCTTTACAAGCATCCACAGAGAACATTCCATATAGTGTCATTATTTAACATGAGCAGTTTCCAGTGTAAGAAATTGTGGACTTATTGCAACTACCCCACCAATGGTTTCTCTTCTTCTTTCATTAAACCTGCCCCAAGTGTATGTGGCTGTTATGTTATTAATTTCCAAGGATCTCACATTCAGTGATCCTTCTAAGCATACAGGGAGAATCTCTACTAGCATATAAATATCCTAAATGGTGAGTGACCCCACCTAAGCTTGCTGAGCCCCTTTCCCCTTCTAAACATGGGCAGAAATGTGTGGCTGCTCCCCAGCACTTGAGGTGAGAAAACTCTTCAGCCTAAATCCCCTCAGGTCAGGAACCCCTTTCCTGCCCACAAGCAGCACATCCGCCAGCCTCACGGCACCTGCGCTGGCTGCTTGGACTGTAATTGCATGTGAAAATTATCAGGTAGGCACATGTCTGTGGACACACACACATAGATGCACACTGGGTCCTCCCTAGAACAAAAATCAAAAACCCTGTGAGTAAAAGAAAAGAGACTGGGGATCCAAGGATAGGGATTTGTCTGCTGACTGCTCCATCCTGCTCCAGGTAGCAAATCGGGGCTTGGAGGGAGCTGGAGAAGTTTGCATTTCAACATTTCAGTGGAAAGAAAGCTTCTGGCTTCCTGTGGGTCTTCTCATGTACATGGAGGTCCCTGTGGGGTCTGGATTCCCTCGTTCTTATGGCTCACATTGTTTCTGGGGTCTCGGCTATCTCCTCCAGCCGCTGACGAATCATTAGCCGGAGTACGGTGTACCTGGGGACAAAAAAACAGCTTGGGGTGGACACAGTCAGCAGTATACACCTCCTCTGGACCCCTCCCTGCCACCCAGGCAACCATGGGCTGGCTCTCCTGTCCCTTTGCTTCTGTCTTTGGCCTACTCTTCAACCTAGTAAGTCTGGCAAAAGAAAGATGAGAAGGTCAAATACCAACAACAACATCAACAATAAGGTCTCCACTAACGGAGTGCTTCCTATGCCCGAGGAGGCAATAGGCATAGTGCTTTATACGCACAGTCCCTGGGTGGTACAAATGGTTAATGCCCTCAGCTGCTAACCTAAAGGTTGGCAGTTCAAGTCCACTCAGAGGCATCTCGGAAGAAAGACCTGGTGATCTGTTACTACACTAGTTACATCATCAGTACAGTAAATATACCAGTAAAGCAGTTGCTGTCGAGTCGATTCCCACTCATGGTGACCCCATGTGTGTCAGAGTAGAGCTGTGCCCCATAGGGTTTTCAATGGCTGATTTTTCAGTAGATCACCAGGCCTTTGTTCATAGGTACCTCTGGGTGGACTCGAACCTCCAACCTTTCAGTTAGCAGCAGAGCACATGAACTGTTTGCACCAGCTAAGGCCTCCATAACAAATATAGTATTGGCTTTATTCACTAATGGCAAAAATCAATCAATTGTTGTACCATATCTTTGAAACACAGTCTACTCTAGGACTAAACATGGCAGAGAAATCACAAAACTCTCTTCAGAGAGAAGCTTTACTGGACCTTTCAAACCAAGTGAAATTTCAAGAAGAGAAATGTTAAAAAGGGAGGAAGGGTGCGAAGAAAGGCTTTGAGAGGTAGGTAACTTAGACTACTTCCCACTGCTGAGAAAATCTTCCTGGAATCCCAGGATCCTCTGGGTCTTGGCTACCACATCTTGCCCTTGCCCCTGAGGCATGGGGTGCTAATACTGAGTACAGCCCCGGGGACTGCACTGTCCCTGTGGTTACCCCAGGTCCTGCCAGCACCTTTGTAAACAGTCCTTCATCAAAGGCTCCTTAAAGGACGCTCAGTTGAGTGGGCATCTCTTCCCTGCTGGGAGCCTGATAAAACACTGGGAAATGAGGATAAAGGCACCTCCCTTGTTTCTGAATCTAGACTCCAAACATGTTTTAAATCAACACTGTCTTGGTTTCAGAGTCCTTTCACGAAAGGAGAAAATAAGACATTTGGATGTCCCACATCAAAATGAGAAGGTGACACGAAAAGCAGAGAGACCAAGACATTTCAGTCTCACATCCCCATCCAAGATTCAGGTTTGTCAAAGGGCAGCCCCCGAAGACGGCCCCTAAGACCCAGGCCCACACAGCAGCTCGACAGAGTCCCTGCAAAGCACCTGCACCAAGGCCCCAGGAGAAACCCAACCAGCCACCTGGGAGGCCATGCTTACTTGCGCATTAGCTTCTTTACTTCCCGATCTTCCTCCTCTTGGAGCTTCTGAATGAAGCTTTTAAGGACAGGCATCTCGAACTTTATATACTGGGCCACCTGGGGAGGGAGAAGAAGTCTGGGTGAATGCCCCCTCCCAGCACCAGTCCAAATCCCTTAGGCTTCTCCCTCATGCAAGGGTACAAAGCCTTGGGGAATCTACTTCCCCACTAACCCAGGGTTTCCTTAAAGGCCGGAGCCGAGCCTCATTCTTCTGGAGGCTGGCACAGAGTCTGCAATGAAGATGGCTTCATTTACATGACACCATCTCGTACCTCCTCATTTTTCATCTTATGTAGCCAATCCTCTCGATTCAGTGACACAGAGGAGGACTGAAACCTGTGATATTTAATAAGCCTTTCTGCCCTCCTCTAAGGGAATTTAGGGAACCATACGTTCAGAACGATGGTTTGTGTCTCGAGTCTCAAACGGACATCCAAATGTGAATTTGCTTCTAAGAGGTTGTCAGAGTAGAGAGAGTCGGGGATGTGGCTCCCTGGTGAACTAAACTTAAAAAACTGCCCCCCACCAGAATCCTCACTCTACTCTATCAACTCCCCTTCATGGGAGGAAAATCTTTCCCAATCCTACTGATATTGGGTTTGGCTGTTAGACTTGCTTTGGCCAGTGGGATGTGTGTGGACATGACATACACCAATTCCATGCAAATGAGCTTGCATGGTTTGGCTTGGTTTCTTGCACTCCACCATCTACCATGAGAAGCATACCCTAGTCAAGCAGCCACTAACCCTTAAACTTGGGTCTCTGGATGTGACACACAATAGAGATCTGAACCCAACCTACAGCCAAGAGTAGAGCCACTGCAACCAGCCCACAGAAATGTGAATGAAAAAATAAATGGTTTCTACTGTAAGCCAGTAAGATTTGGGGATGTTTGTTACTGTAGCAAAAGCTGACTAATATACAAGATAAGGCAGAATTACTGCTAGCTTCTTGAAGTTGCTAAGAGATGGTTTGCAGAAATTTCTCAGCTCTCTTAGTGTACTCAAGAAAGGCTCAGAAAATTTATTCCTTCTATAGAAATCACTTTCTGCCTGAACATTTCTCTAACTCTCAGAGGGCACGCCCTCACCCTGGCCTCCATCTTCATTCTACTGGCTCACGGCCATTCCTGCTTCAAGAAAACCTGGTATTGAGGAACTGCACCTAAAGGAGGGCATGGTATTATTCATTCTCTTCTAGCCATGGAGAGAAATGAAGTCCTGATGTGGGCCACAATGTGTATAAACCTTGAAAACATCAGCTGAGTGAAATAAGTCAGTCACAAAAGGACAAATACTGTATGCTCTCACTTACATGAGATATACAAATACATAGAAACCAAACAGTATTAGTGCAATAATTTTGTAAAGGATAGCAAGAATGGTTGGACAACTTGAAGAACGTAATTCACTGAATTATACATGTAGAAATTATTGAATTGGCGAGTGTTTTATTGTGCATATTTTCACTACAACAAAAAAGGGAGGGCATGGTCCTTGGCCAAAAAGTCATGCTACACCCTAGTTGCTGGAAACCCAACCTAACGCCCATCCCCCTGAGAACAGACCACCCAACCGAAAGAAGACTCACGTCATAGGTGACTTCCTCCACCTGGTCCTTCTCCATGAGGAACACTTTGGAGACCTGCTCACACGGGCCCTGGAGGATTCGGGCAATCAGAGGGTAGTCGGTGTTCTTCAGCTTCTGTTTCTCTGGAACCACATACAGCCAGGAGCAGCCCTGAGTTCGGCCCAAGGTCTTTCTCACCTTAAGTAATGGTCAACTCAGAGGCCCAAATGGACCAGGCACCTTAGAAGATGCGGCCATAAAAGTCAGGGGACTGATTTGGATAATATTCAACAACTGTTGTTAAAAGCAACATCCCTCCACTCTACTCTCCCCGCAACATACTACCCCACCTCCAACCCGTTGGGAGGTGCTGCTTTGGAGGAATTGCTTTTATCGGTCTCTCAAGAAAACCCAGCTCCTTTTTAAATAATCAGTCGGGTTTGGGGGTATGATTACCGACCATATATGGGATCCCCCAGTGGACGCATCCAGCAAGCCCACCAGCCTTAGAGGCAAACAACATTTGAAAGTTTCCAAAACACAAACAACAAGCAAATGAGCCTGAGGATTTTCTTAACTTGCTATTTGGAGTTAATTAAAAGTTTTAAAGTACACTGTGTCCTTCAAACTTACCACCGCTGGTATGGACAACGTACAAAGCGAACTCCTCCGGGGAATTCTCAATCTGAATTAGGAGCAAAAGATACTTGTTTAAAGCATGTATGTCAGCATCCTAACTGTGACCAATTCTCTCTTCTGCAATACTGCATCACAAAATAGATTTTAGGCTCTTTTGGGGGGAGGGCTACTATCCACAGCTCTCAGAAGTGATGAGGAGATGGGGCAGGCAGATAACTTAATCAATAATAATAGACGATAAGAGCGCACATTTGTTGCAACCCGCCAGGCACGGTCTGACATACTTTACGCATTTTAATTCATGTAATACAACAATATTAGCCCCTTTTTTCTGGTGAGGAAGTAGAAGTACGAGGAGGTTAAGTAACTTGCCCAACTCATCCAAATAGTAGGTGGTGAAGCGGGGATTCGAACCCAGGCAATCTGATTGACAGCTTATGCTCTTAGGCCACTAGGCCACACGGGCTTCCATTAAAAACAGAAATACTGGTCCCCGAAAGAAATATAAGGGGCTTGTAGAAAACATATAGAGTAACAGGACTTTAAAAGTGCTCATGCACTAAAACGTATACATCTATTTAAATATCATTTTTCAAAGTAGATTCCCTAACTGTATTGCAGACCTTCATCTGTGCACTGAGCCCAAGACAGACTTCGAGGCCCAGGGTCCTTCTGTTGTCGTTAGCTGCTGTCGAGTCGATTCTGACTTATGGCGACCTCATGTGTGCCTAATAGAACTGCTCCATAGGGTTTTTTTTAACTAATTTATTTATTTTTATTGTGTTTTAGGTGAAAGTTTACAGAGCAAATTAGTTTCTCATTCAACAAATTGTACACAGAGTGTTCCATGACATCGATCGCAATCCCCACACTGTGTCAGCACTCTCCTCGTTTCTGCCCTGGATTCCCCGTTTCCTTTCCTCTGGTTTTCCTACCCCTTCCTGCTTTCTCGTCTTTACTTTTGGGCAAATGTTGCCCTTTCGGTCTCGTATAATTGTTTGTTCTACGGAGCATGTTCTTTTCGGGTGTTGCTGTTTATTTTAAAGGCCTGTCTATTGCTTGGCTGGAAGGTGGTTTCCGGGAATGGCTGCAGTTCCAAGTCAGAGGGGTATCTTAGGGCCATAGTCTCTATCAGTTCCTCTAACCTCTACCAGGCCAGTAAGTCTGGTCTTTTTTTTATGAATTTGATTTTTTGTTCTACATTTTTCTCCCGCTCTATCTGGAACCCTCTATTGTGATTCCAGTCAGAACGAGCCATAAGGTTTTTAAGGCTGTGAACTTTCAGAAGCAGATTGGCAGGCCTATCTTCCGAGGAGCTTCTGGATGGCTCGAATCACCAACCCTTTGTCTAGTAGCCAAGCACTTAACCCGTTGCACCACCCAGGAACTCCTAGAAGTCCCTGAGGGAGAATACCTCTCCAACTTTTAGGGGGCATCAGATCCGGTTAAAACAGACTCCTTGGCCTTACCCTCAGGGGGTCTGACTCAGCAGGTCTGGGGTGAGGCCTGAGAATCTGCTTTTCTAACAAGCTTCCAGGTGAGGTCGATGCTACAGGTTTGGGCACCGGGCCTTGAGCAGTGAGGATCTGAACAATCCAGACCCTCCGCCTGGGCGCCCCTCACCCACACTCTCCACAGCCTCCCCCACTACCCTGCTGGGGGCCACCAAGGCATACAAGCAACCACTTATGGCCGACCAACACAGGACACTTGCCTTAAATTTGTTGAGCAGCAGCTTCAGGACCTGAGGGGTGGTCATGGTGCTATTGATGCGGACGTTGGTGACGGAGCCATAGGCTGGAGTGAACACCGACGTCTGTCAACAGAGGGTCCAGCTCAGGTGGGAGGGGGACAGGAAGGGGTGCCAGAACCTAGGTGTTCCCGCTCTGTACCTGACCAGAGTCACTCAGCAAGTGCCCGGAGGCACGTTAGCTGGGCCTGGAAAATCGGGTGAGAAGCCCAGTGACAATATCCTCCAAATGTGCTCCTGGGAGCCCCACGCTGCTGACAGCCTGGCAAACATCAGACTTTGATATAAACAAAGTCACCTTCAGCATCACCTTGCCCAGGAGCTCATGTCCCCATGGAAGCTCAAGGGGTCTGAGCTCGCCAAGTGGCAGAGTTGGGGGTGGGGTAGGAACAGGTCAAATAAAACGCTCACAAGGACTCCTCCACTGTGCCTTCAAAATCAGGAGGTCTCTGAGC